TACAACCAAATGTGAGATGTGGCATAAAACAGAAATATGGGGAAGAGGCTGAAGTGTTCAAGGCCAGGTTGGATGTGGTTTTGAGCAACCTGGTCTACTGGAAGGTGTCTCTGCCCATGGCAGGGGTATTGGAACCAGGTGATCTTTAAGGTCCCATCCAACCCTAACCACTCTATGATTCAAAGCCCCACAAATCCCTGGTACAAAGGAGGTCTTCGCAATCCCCTGCTGTTTCATCTCCATTTTAAGTCTTCTGCCTGTCTTTTGTTATAAAGTTGTTATAAAGAGCAGCTTTTCCATGAGAAGGACAGTCCTTGTCTTCTACTTTGGCACACTGGTAAGTAGCTATAATGTATGCAAGGAGTCTTCTTCCCACAATCCTCTCACAACAAGGGCTACAAAAGGAGTCCACCATCTCAGCAGTTACCAAAGCGCCCAGCAGCAAGGCAAGCAGACATCACTGCTGGGACCAAAGCAGGCAACTTTGCCTCTGCCAACCACGAGGTTAGACCTTCTCATCAGTGCTTATGCCTCCTGACCTCCACTGTCCATGAGGAGAACCTTTCAGGTCTCTGTCTACTTGGAAGGAGTCCACCAAAGAGGTCCTTTGAGACTACTTGAAAGGGCAGTTCAAAAGTAGTGTCAGGCTTCCACAGGGAGAATCCTCATTTGCTAAATACCTAGACAGCACACCCTCTAAATACCATTTTTCCTACATTTTTCAGAGTCTGTCAGGTTCCTATTTTCTCCTAAAATTGGGAGAGGAAATAACAGCAAAAGGTCAGAAGAGCTAAAAAAAAAAAAAAAATACACCAGCGAGCAAAAGATGTTAAAATATTAAACATCTATCATAAGAATGCAGCCTGCAAAAAAACCAAAGCACAAAGAAATGGCTGTTACTTTTCTTATCTTGAAGCTGCTTCTCTGGGGATGCTGGACACACAAAATTCTGTCAGTGGCAACAAACACAGAAGTTTCTGTGCACAACTCCAATTAATTCCATCCAAAATATAACACATGAGTGAGGAGGAAAAAAAAAAGCCAGAAAACAAGTAGTCAGATTCTATAAATTCCAGGTAAACAGAACAAATGCTCTAATACACATTAAGAAATCTGTGATAAACAGATTTAATTTTTTTTCCCTCAAAGGTGCTTTATCATCTTTAAGCCTTGAGTTCCTCACAATCAAAAATGAGTGCCAAAAAAGTATAGGAGCCACAAAACAAAATATTTCATAAGGTCATCATGCAAGTAATGTCTTACCACATTTCTTTCTTATGTAGCTTCCAGTTTGTTTAATGTTTAGAAATGTTCCCTGTGGAAAAAACAGCCTAAGTAGACCTGGAAGGAAATACTACTCGTCTCTTTCATCACTGGAAATGTCTTAGGCTTACGAGAGTAGTTCTAACTCAGCTTCTCAAAGACAAGATGGTTAAGAAGATGAAGCACTGAACTATCTCAGTCTCTAAATTGCTGAGTATGAAGAAGGATAAATTAGAGTAATATCCAGAAAAAAAAATGCATGTGATTTCCACCTTTCCTTTTTCTGCCACAGAAACTTACCTGTTTTGTTCAACATGTCAGAAGTCAATTCTAGGCTTTCTTTTTTTACTATCTAGTGCTAGCATGCTCAAAAACAAAGCAAACTACAAACCTCCAAAAAAGCCAAAACCAAAAAACCATCCCACAAGCAAAAAAAAACCACCCAAAACCGGAAAAAAACCCAAACATCAAAGCAACCCACACCCAAAAGTAACAGCACCTCCCTACAAACACACATCGGTAGATATATTTTTCATCTTTTTATTGTTCTGGTCACAAAGACCCACACCATTTGATCAGCTGGCAGTAACTCTTACGGAAGACAAATGAGTTTTTGAGTGTGAATCAGTAAGAACACCTCCTCTCAGCAACAAAGCTATCCCAGGTGAGGACGCTGTACTTCCATTGGCAAACAGAGTGAAGCTACTGAAGGTTCTGCTCTGTGTGCCTGTGTTCTGCTTTTTCCAAGTTCTCTTACACATTCCAGCTTACAGTGTCAGTGCATATTCATTTTATGAAGTACTTACAGACACTGAGAATAAGGAGTTATATCACTTCACTTAATTTCTACTTGTCTTCTGGGAGCCTGCACATCTAATAGGACAAAATATGTTCACAGCATAATGCACTTCTGATGTTCTCAACTGCAGCAAGTTGCTAAAACTTTTTAGCAGAAGTGTAAATCATGGTGGCATGAAGACTATTAGTTCTATTAAGCAGTGAGTTTCAGGGAAGAAGCCAGCCAGCTTCTTTGAGAACCCCACTTTAACTAAGAGCACATTCTAATTTGGAAAATGTGGGCAATTCTGAGAAAGGTAGCAAATGTAGAAAAAGTTTTGTTTGAAACACAAAGGCAGTAAACTCCAGCAGACATCTCCAGAAAGTTTTAAAGCTACAAAGTATTGATGACAGAACAGAATTCAGGTTCATAAAATATTCAAAAGTAAATAAGAGCAAGTCAGAATGCAAATAATCAGGGCATTGAGATCACTTTTACTGACAAGACAGACATCACAGACCCTTGTCTGAATACACTTCATGCATTATTTTACTGACTGTAAGCATGGTGGGCAAGCCTTAGGTAAAAGCTGGTTTGAATTGTTTGCTGCCATCTGAAATTTAGACAATGAAAAGCAGTGGGCGGATAAAAGTGACTTTTGTGAAAGCTGTTAAAAATTCACCATAGTCACCATATCTGATGTTTTGAGGCAGCTGATCATAGAATTATTAAGGCTGGAAAATACCTTCAAGATCATTGAGTCCAGCCTTTGACCAAGCATCACCATGCCAACTAAACCATAGCATTAAATGCCATGTCCAGTCATTTCTCAAACACTTCCAGGGATGGTGACTCCACCATCTCCCTGGGCAGCCCATTCCAATGCTTAATCACCCTTTCAGTGAATATTTTTTTCCTGATGTCCAACCTTAACCTCCCGTGGCACAGCCTGAAGCTGTTTCCACTTGTCTTGTTGCTGATTGCCTGGGAGAACAGACCAACTCCCACCTTGCTACAATCTCCTTTCAGGTAGTTGTAGAGAGGGATAAGGTCTCCTCTGAGCCTCCCTTTCTCCAGGCTAAACGACCCCCATTCCCTGAGCTGCTAATCATATGACTTACTCAAAAGACCCTTCACGAGCTTCACTGCTCTCTAGACATGCTCCAATACCTCAACATCTTTCTTGAAGTGAGGGGCCCAAAACTGAACATAGGATTTGAGACGTGGCCTCACCAGTGCTGAGTACAGAGGGACAATCATTTCCCTAGTCCTGGTGGCCACACTATTTCTGATACAGGCCAGGATGCCTTTGGCCTTCTTGGTCACCTGGGCACACTGCTGGATCATGTTCAGCTAGGTGTTGAGCAGCACCTCCAGGTCCTTTCCAGCCAGTCTACCCCTAGCCTGCAGCTCTGCATGGGGTTGTTGTGACCCAGGTGCAGGACCCAGCACTTGGCCTTACTGAACCTCATACCATTGGCCTTGCCCCATGGATCCAGCCTGTCCAGATCCCTCTCCAGAGCCTTCCTACCCTCCAGCAGATCAACACTCCTGCACAGTTTGCAACCTTACTTAGGGGGCATTCAACTCCTTCATTCAGATCATTGATAATCAAAAGATATTAAACAGGACAGGCCCCAATACCAAGCCCAGGGGAACACCACTCATGACTGGCCAGCAGCTGGATGTAACTCCATTCACCACCACTCTCTGGGCCCAGCAATCCAGATGGTTTTTAACCCAGCAAAGAGGGCACCCATCCAAGCCATAGGTTGCCAGCTTCCCCATGAGCATGCTGTGGGAGGCAGTATTGAAAGCTTTACTGAAGTCCAGGTAGACAGCATCTACAGCCTTTACTGCATAAACCAGGCAGGTTCCTGGTCATAAAAGGAAATCAGGTTGGTCAAGCAGGACCCGCATAACTGACCCTGTAGTTAAAAGAAATTATATACTTAGCAAGTTTCACATAATGACAGAGTACCTGCTTGTATTTCCAGGCAATTTTCGACCTTTAGAATTTATCTTAGATTACCCTGTTAGGGATCTGTCTTCAGATTAAAAAAAATGATGCATGACTACCAAAGCTACATCAACAATATTGTTATAACAGCACCTCATTTCTGTGATAAGAACAAAATAAAGAGCAAGTAATTCGCAGCAGATGTGACCTACACAGCTTTGGCTGATAAGCAGGCCCACTTAGGATATGTCCACTTCTCATGAATTTTTCCATTCCATAGGAAAATGTGGAATAATCTTCCTAAAAGCTTCACAATAAAATTAAGCACTGCAAAAAGAAAATACCTCACTTCACCATCACTTTCATTCATTAAATTGAGCTACAGTTTTATTTGTTGGTACAATTCTTCTAAGTGAGCAAGTCTAAATAGAGCAAGTGATTCTTAAAACAATTAATAAAAATCACTTGGTATTTTTCAGTTATTTGAACTGACACATTAACAAGTAGATCCCTGTACAACCAGATGAAGCTGCCCTTCTCAGAATCACCAGTTCCAGAAACACTAATTAAAAAAATCTTTCCATCAAGAGAAAGTCTGGCAGGAATTGTGAACAAGAAAATTGTAATGAGCCACATCAGAATTCCTGCTTAGAATAACCATTGATAAAATCTGCCTTTCCCTGTAAACCAATACACACAGACTTTTGCAGCCCCAAAAGAATCCTCCAAAATCTCTCACTTGAAAATTCAGAGCAGAAACTGAAATTCTTGTTACAACTGAGGGTACAAATAACAAAAAAAAAAAAAACGCACAAGCTATTAGACCAAGGAAGTACTTACTATATCTAGAATATACCCATCATCGACAGAGGGACCAAAGTCCCTCATTTCGGCATCCATTCCAGCACTGCCCCTTAATTCCTATGAAATACAAATTCTGTCTCAGAGGAAGGTTGTGTTAACCATAGACTATAAATTCAAAACCAGGCAGACAAGCTCTAAGGAAACTAATATATTTTAATCGTATAGGCTTAAGAAATGCAGTTCAACATACAGTTAATTTTAGTGACAGGTCTATTGAAACCAAAGGCTATCTCTCTCTCACTGTGTAATTAACAATACTTTTTTATTTCTTAACACTAATAATTTTACAGAATTAACAAGATGTATTACATTGAAAAAAGCATCTGTCTGAATATTTGAAGTAGCAAGGAATATTTTATGATTTAATTTTTGTGGTGACACAGGTGGTTGTTTTGGGGTTTTTTTAAATACTTTTCTGTTTTATACTTTCAGAGTAGATATGAAATGCTATATGTCCATTTGACAAAATATGTAATTGCTAAGTATTAGTTAAAAAAAATCCTAGGGATATAAAGAAAACTTATTTGTTTAGAAAACCACTTAGCAAAATATAGGAAAGGAAGATATGCATTATAAAATTCATGTGTGCTTTATAAAACCTTTGGGATTCAATGCTCAGCTTTGGATTCTTGACCAAAATGACAAAGTAAGATCAGTCAAGATGGTCCATAGGCCAAGGGGCTAGTTGCTGTGAACGTCTCTGTACTTTCAGTACTGCAAACACCCTCAAAACTGGAAAAGTATGACCTGCTCTCTTTCAAGCTAAGTGCTACCATAAGAAACAAGAAACAAGACAAAGAATGTTATAAGAAACTTTCTGAAGAAAAGTTACCATTGATATACAGTCGAACCTAAAACTTTTCACAATGCATCATAAAACAAAATCTTCTCTTGCATATACACTTTCATGCATTTTAGTATTCTAATTCCCAGTTATTTTAAAATATGCCACTTTATTCTAATATCAAAAAGGTGGCTTTTGGTATAAGAAACAGCCTTTATTATTTCCAATGAAATGAAACGAACAGTATTTGTATTAGCAGAGTGGCTAGCATAGCTGAACAGACACTCCAAGAAATTTGCCATATATTATTCTTAAAGTATCTAAAGTTTTCAGTTCCTGACATCAGTTTAACACACTAATTATAAAGCAATGCACATCAAGATTAAATCCTCCCTTATTTAGTTACTCCTTGTTTAGAAAATGTTTCTTCTTCATTTTTGTCATCTTCCACTCTAAACACCCCAAGAGTTCCTTAAGATATTAACAAAATCATCATCACACACGATTCCAAAACTTAATCCTTCATAGTAATCTTCAAACTCAGAATAGGACACTTCAATGGGGTTGCTGCAGGTCTCTCCTAATGTTTCTAGAAACGATGATTTAATTTCTTCTTCTGCAGCTTTGCCTATGAAAGCATATTTTTCCATTAAATACATTTTAAAGAACAGTTAATATGTAGCATTTAATATACTTCAGGCAAGAAACTTTCAAATTTTAGCTTTCAAATATTTTTTTCATGAGCAAAGTCAAGATTCTGATTTCAGAGTTAAGTTATTGGCTCACTTAATATAAGCTGTAGAAATCACCTTACTTTGACAGCATGATAGCATTAAATATCAACAGAAACATGGTCAGTCAATTGCAATGAATTAATGACATCAGGAAAATTTTTTTCTTCAAGGGAATGCAAAAGTTGAATAATGCATTTGTAAACTAAAATTTTGGTATTTCAGAAGTTATCTTGTAAGAACATGTAACACAAGTTCAAAGTTCTAGGAAAACTTTAGGATGCAAATTAGCATTTGAAAAGTGCTCTGCAATTTATATGTGTCCTAGTGACTTTATAAAGATAATACTCAAAATGATTTTGTGTCATTGAGAAAAAAAATGCAAAAAATATGCCACTATAGCATTGGAAAAATTCACGTTGTATCCCTATACCAGCATGTGTCTTCATATGTTACCATTAAAATCACTGGCAATATAAAAAAACATCCTCTTTTCTACAGGTAAAACCAAAAGGGTCACGACACTATGTAGACTTTCATAGTGACTAGTTTGGTACATATTATTTTAGAAACTGCCATACAAATACTTAAATTCCTATTTTTTCAATGGTAGATTTTAAACATTTTTGAGAATCCTGAAAAAATAATGAATAATGAATGAATAATGAAGAAACCAGCACTTCCTCTGTAAAGGATGACAAACCTGTCCCAGAAATAAATGAAGTGCCTTCTGAATAAATTATTCAAGTGTAGAGTACACTCTGTGTCAGTTGGAATCCTTGTGTATTTTGATGGAAAACAGTCATGTGAAAATAAGAGTATCCTCCTAAGTGAAAATTATTTATATCATATTTTTCACTGATAACTTACAGATGAAAGCTGAGAAATAACTGCTTACATGTAGTCCTACACCGACATGGAAAACAATTACTCCGCATATATGCAGTGTGTGCAGCTTGATAAAGAGCAGTATTAAAATTGTATATATAAACTCCATTACTATTTATAGTCATGTTCTGGATACATTGTAAGTCATCAGACAAAAAAAGTTCTCCTTAACAGTTCAAGTCTAAGCCAATATGAAAACAGTCTGTATTTCCAACCAGTTTCTGCATCTGGTACTTCTGCTAACGACTTCAGTAGTTACAGATTTTTTTTGTTTGTTCATGTGAATTACCTGCCAATACTAGAGGATGTTTCTTTGCACAGTAACATTTCCTGACATCCACCATAGGCACACTCCCAGTTTTGTTGAAATCTAGTTTCATATAAGCCTATAGGGAAAAAAAGAGTTAAGCATGAGCATATAAGGAAAAAAAAAGTGGAAAGATGAAAAGATCAAATACACTTAACTACTTGGTTTACACTAACAGATCTTGTGCAGTAGATTATGTCAATTTATCTATTTTATATAAGGCAACAGATACCAAAAAATTATTCTAGATTATGCAGTTTCATGATTATTTTATCTCAACAGTTTTCGCATCAAATGTAGTCCCCTCATCAAGTCAAAAAGTTTTTCTTTCCATAATTTTTAGCTCATCCTTAGAATCAGAAGTTAAGCTGCTTCCCTTCTGCCTCCTCCAATTACTAAGATTCCTGCATCATTCTGACAGAGCCTCTTCAGCACTGCTAACAGCAGCTTCATTTTCATTTCAGTTTACTCAAATACACATGCTCAATATAAAAGGCTAGAAGAGTCGGATCTCTCCATGATTGAAAGTATGAAAGTATATGTCATTTTTCTTGATCTTGATATCCAGTCACTACTACTTGGCTGGTTTGTAATCAGTGTTTGATACTGCAAACAGCTCCACATTGCATTATAGACACATAAGAAGTGGTACTTCAAATACAACAAGTCTCACAAATTACTCTAATTGTAGGTCTCAAAGGAGACAAGTATTATTGCCTCCTATTTCAGGCAATGTGGGAAAAAAGTCTACACTGATATAGTCATCTGCCAAAATAAGGAAACAGACTTCTGGAAGAGATCGTTTTAGGGTGTCAGACGCTTTATACAGTGGACTGAACTATAAGAAAAGCACACATATACATAAAATCAAAATAATAAAGAAATTAATTCTAGAGTTTAAAATTAACTAATTCAACAATGGAACAGTATGCAGTCCTCTAATTTACTTTTATTTTGACAAACTCATCTGAAACTTTAAAAAGTCAATTTCCAAAAACACAACTCAGAAAAACAACAGAACTCAACAACCAGGACATGATAAGTAACTAACTCCAAAGTTAGACTGCAAAATCTTTGCATTTAGAATATCTGCAATAAAACTTACTTTTCTTACAAAGGCTTTCCTATATTCATTCATTTCTCCAAATATGGCACAAGTAAATTCTCCATAGTCGACCTTATCACTCTTGCTATCATCAAGAATAAGCCATAAAGATTCGAAGTCCTGCAATTTAAAAATATTTTGCCAAAGTTCTTCAGTATGTCCTAAAATAAAACATTCGCTATAATGGAAAATTACAATATTGTCACCACAAAACCCCCAAACATCTAAATCCAAACTCATTTAAAGATTTGTAAAAATAATGCATATCAGTCACTGAGGACCATAATTCACATTATTTGCAGTTCTGATAGTTGTGGGCTATTTGCAAAACCTAACATATAAAACAAAGGAAAAACATAAGAAAATAGCATAAACTATTTTTTAAAGCCAAAGGAGAAAAAATGGATTGCAATCACACTTGCTTCTTCATGTCATGATGTAAGAAGATTGCATGCTTTTAAATATATTATTTTTTTATTTTTAAGAATTTCACACAAAACTGAATGCACAAATGCCAATATACCACAAGGGGGAAAAAAAAAGCCAAATCAAAAACACCACCAAAAGAAAATGTGCAAAAATCAGCTATTAAACTACAGATTTAAGCAAAGAAAAGAAAGCAATTCCATAAATTAAGAAAGATAATACCCATGATTACCGTTTCAGCTAGACTTACCCCTTCAGGCATTTCCAAATGGAATACTCTTAGAGCTTCTTTAAAGGCTGCCTGAGAGAGAAAACCATTTCTGCTCTTGTCTACTTGTCGGAAATACTTTCCTAAGCCCGTTATAAGCCGAACTCCTCTTTTACTTAGTGTCCCTCTGAATATACCTGAGGATTTAGAGAAATAAGGGACACAATGTTTACCCGAAGTTGGCCCCTTGCTATGGAGGTAATATAGAAGTAAAGAACATCACATCTACTTAGGATAGTGCTGGTTAAAATGACATATCTATGCATCCAGGCTCCCTGATCTTTGATGAAAGAATACCAGTCCAAAATGAAACTATCAGTTACTTAACATTTGAGTGGAAACCATATAAAGCAGCAGCACGAACTTTTAAAGAGACCACAGAAGGAAAGAAATAATGGCTATTGCCCTCTATATGCTCAGATTATAAAGCTGTTTACTTCTGCTAGAACAGATTACATACCATGATTCAACATACAAAGCAACTCTGGAACAATACAAACACTCCATTATGAAACAGAGTTGCTTCTTTATTGTGCAAACATGTTAAAAACATGTGGAAACAAGGACAAATATGAGTAATTATGCAAAATCATTCCAGAATTATATGCAGAGAACTATTTCTAGGGTAAAAACAACTGCCTTATCAAAATCTTCAGGTAGGAGGTTTACTTTAGGGATGCCCAAGTTTCTCAGCTTATTCTGTTAACAGAAGTCACCTGCTATTACCTTCAAATTACTTGTATCTACAATTATAAAGCAAAATAGGGGCATGGTGTATCAGGATGCTCTGCTCTGGAATGTGGACAAGCAACCTGAACAATTCCCTATTTGCAAAGCTATCAGTGGTGGACTGAGAGAGGATATGTCTTGCATCTTTTGGTGTTGAATTATGTTAAAACCAGTCTGACACATCAACCCCAAACTAACGTCCTGATAATAAGGCAAAGATTTGGCAGATAAACTGCTAAACTGACCTGGAGACACATGACTGGCAGTCAATCACTTTATACTATAAAAGGCCAGTCCATTTGCATACAGTAGGTTCTTCTAACATGACCCTTCTTGGAGTGTGTGTGGAGATTCCTCCCTTGGATGGGGACACCCCTCAAGGTTACCCTCAAGGTTGAGTGAAAGAGATCTGCCCATGGTCATTTGTATGGGTGAGTTACATCAATCTCAATAATAGTTTCTTTCTATTTTGCTAGCTTTAATATAATCACTTTGATATAGTGCACTATCCTATCCCTAGTAGTTTTAGTTTCTACACTGTGTAGCAAATAATTCTGATTAAGATCTTTTGTCTAATAATTTCTCATAATAAATAATTCATTTTATATACTCAGTTTGCCGTCTTTAATCCTGCAGGACAAAATTGTACAAAGGTTCAGTCACACCTTTGTAATTCCTTAGACTTAGAACCATTGACAAAGTCTGGGGCTGAGATTGGATCCAGCCACACCCAGGCTCCTCTCTGAGAAGCAGTTTAGAAAGCAAGGGGTTCCTTTCTGCACCTCCTGACTTAACGGGAGGGCTTCTCTAACAAACTTTGTCTGAAGCTCCCACTCCCACCTGTGACATAAGGTGAAAGAAAGAAGTTTTTTCCAGTGAAGATGATGCTCAGATGGATGTTAAAAGGTGCCTTAAAGTATACACATGTAACCTTCTTCCAGGCCACACTAGGAAACCTTTGAGGTAGTCAGATAATTGAGAAATCAATTTGTGTCTATTATGCAAGGAGAAAAAATGGAATAACTAGAAGATTAAAAAATAACCCTAATTTTTATTCCAAACATTTTTTGTGAAAGTAAATGTCCAAGCACGTTCTAGTGACCAAAGAGTGCCTACATAAAACAGGTTTAGCAAATGACAGCAAACATTCACAATTATTCTCTACCTTCTCCACAATCTTTACCCAGACTGTTTATTCAAAGAGACAGCAAAAAACATTCTTATGACTAATTTGTGCTAGTATCAGATTCCAGTAATATTCTGATAAATATTTAACTTTTGTTTAATTTCATTTATACAAATAAAATCTTTATAACATCACTATTGTTCATTGCCCTGAGCTGTAAAGACACAGAGATACAGAAATTAAAATAAAATGGGTTCTGGTAAACACAAACCTTGAATCTTCTTGAAAACTTTGCTGTCTGCTTGCTTGGAACATTGTTGCTTGAATTCCACAGAAGAAGCTCTAAAGAAATCAAAATTAATGTTGATTGGTGAAATTACACATAATATTACAATATTCAAAACAGCTGTATTGAAAAAACCAAAAAAACATATTGAACTTTAATTCAAATCACCTAAACTGGAAAGTCAACGACCACCTACAGAGGACAATGTATTCTCTAAAACACGTGTAAATGAAAAGATTCATGCTTTGTGATAGCAGGACACAGGTATTCTTGGAAACCTGCAACAGATCTTTTGGACTGTAGCTGAGCAGGACTCTCTTTCAGTACAGTAATGAAGGTTAGAGGACTCAATTCAAGAGTTTTGCACCAGAGAATAGAGCTATGGTGGGTTGACCTTGGCTGGACACCAAGTGCCCACCCAGCCGCTCTATCACTTCCCTTTCCAACCGGAGAGGGGAGAGAGAATAAGATGGAAAACAACTTGTGGGTATGTATAAGGCAGTTTATTAAAGCAGAAGCTAGGCAAAAGCCTGTATGTGCAAAAGTGAAGCGAAAGACAGCAGCGTTTATTCTCCACTTCCCATGAGCAGCGATGGTCGGCCACTCCCGAGAAGCAGGGCTTCAGTACGCGTGACGGTTCCTCAGCAGGCAGCCATTGGAGACAATGAATGCCTGCCTTCCTGCTCCTTGCCTTAGCTTTGATATCTGAGCTGATGTCATATGGTCTGGTATGACATCATATCTGATATGACATCATATCCCTTTGGTCAGTTTAGGCCTACTTGGGTCCCCTCCCAGGATCTTGCTCTCAATTGAGGAAGGGATATTACGGTGCTGGTGCTGTGCTCAGCAGCAGCCACAACACCGGTGTGTTATCAACACCCTTCTGGCTACCAATGCGAAGCACAGCACTGTGAGGGCTACTGTGAGGAAATGAACTCCAGCTCAGCCAGACTCAATAGAAGAGCATTCAATAACACCCGCATACAGAAGAAAAAGACAGACTTCACTGTCTGAAATTTAGTCACTAATGGAAAGAACACAGAGAGAGCATAAAAAAAGAAACAAGCTATTCCACCACAGGTAGCAAAAAAAAGCCAAAATTATAGCCCAGTGAGCAGGTCGTCTTTCTGGAACCTTCAGCGATAACACTGGATCAACTCTAAATTTCACAAGTATAAGATTAGCAACAAATGAAAGAAAAAGCTGTTTACCTGAATGATAGGCTTCTGAGATGTAAATTTCTTACATAAACTATCTTAAATTAAACTATATGGTGTTTTACCTCATGGAGGGAACAATTAGCACTAAGCATCATACAACTATATATTTCTATAACCAATTGAATTTGAATTTACTGTTCTATGCACTGTTAGCTCACTACGGCTCCTTTGCAAAGCTTTCAGTATAAAGGGACATTAAAATGAATATTACCGTAACTGAGAATAAGCTTCATGTGTCTAAACACTTACACAATAGTGTAGTTGTGCCAACAAAAGTAGTCTTTAGATACGGAACATATTTAATTGAGATTTTGTTATTGCTCTTCCTAATCAAGCAGGGATCAAAGCGTTTGATATATGAAGAGAGGCTGGGAGAGATGAAACTGTTTAGCCTGGAGAAGAGAAGGCTTGAGGGATCTTATCAGTGTGCATAAACACCTGACAGGAGGGAGTACAGAAGACTGAGACAGGCTCTGCTCAGTGGTGCCCGATGACAGGACAAGAGACAATGGGCACAAACTGAAACACAAGAGGTTCCCTCTGAACAATCTGGAAACACTTTTGTACCATGAGGGTGACTGAACACTGAACAGGTTGCCCACAGAGGCTGCAAAGTCTCCATCCTTGGAGGTATTTAAAAACCCAACTGGATGCAGCCTTGAGCAATCTGCTGCAGTAAACCATGCTCTGAACAGTAGGGATGGACTAGAGACCCTCTTGAGGCCCCTTTCTATGATTCCATGATTTTATGAAAATTTCTACCCTGTAACATCTGCTATCAGCTGACACTCCTCACCAAAATCTGAGTAATCAAACCCTGACTGTATTTCCAACACTGTTGAATAACTTCCGTGATCAGGCAGGCACAGCAGTGTGATAAATTTTATACCAAGATGTTATTTGTACTAAGAAGCAGTATACTCACAATAAAAGCCAGAAACTGCAGAGAAAGATACTTAATTCTCTAGACAGATGACTTCTGTATAGGTATTGGTATGAGACACATAGTCAAATTTAACCATTTACCTAACCATTTGAAAAAATTCTAAAAAAATTCTCATCTTTCAGACTCTGGGACAACATAATTTAGTAAAAACTATTTTGAAAGAATAAGCGCAGAAAACTTGCAGTCTTCAACATGTAACAATGCCTGGAAGAATTAGGAGAGGAATGAAAAAGAAAATGAAAAACCAGAGAGATAAACCTCCAATTCTTCTCCTGTGTGTGTTCAAACACTTATATTATCATGACTGATATAAACTTTTAACATACATGTTACAAAAGATTCAATAATAATGTTGATCATAAAAAAAGCATTTTTGCCCAAATGTAGTATTTTAGTTCATCACATAAGAAAATTTTCAGTATATGATTAGTATATAAAAACATGTAACTTCAGACATTGCAAATAGGACAGATTCAAAATTTAATTAATTCTTTTATCCTTATCATTCTAGAAAGTTACTGAACTATGCAAAGTCCACTAACATCTATTACTAATTTAAACAGTCTAAATACAGATTCTGTATTTAGCAGTGTAAGTAATATGGTATTAGAAGCTCTTATTAAAAAAAATCTTTTTTGCTTAAGGAATGGAAGGTAATTTGAAAAACAGTTACCAGCACTTACTTTAGAAAATCCATAGCTGCTTCATCAATACTTATCACACGAAGGGTAAAGACAGGGTTCTGCTTAACGCTTTCTGGAAGGTTATGATCAACACTTCGGAAAGTTAGATTAGCTCCCTGTTGGTAAAGCATACAGTGATTTAAAAATAGGTCATAGGTCATAGGTCCTGTGCACTTCAACATCTTCATAAATTACTTGGACACAGGACTGGAAGGGATACTAAGTAAGTTTGCAGACAACACAAAACTGGGAGGAGCTGTTGACTCCCTTGAAGGCAGGTAGGCCCTGCAGAGAGACCTCAACAAATCAGAGGACCGTATGAAGTTCAACAAGGGTAAGTGCTGGATTCTGCACCTGGGAAGAGGCAACCTCGGATGTTTGTACAGACTGGGGAATGAGATGCTGGAAAGCAGTGCCATGGAAAGGAACGTGAGGGGATTGTCCCTCTCTGCTCTGCACTGGTGCAGCCTCACCTTGAATGTTGTGTGTGGTTTTGGGCACCTCAATATAAGAAAGATATTAAGGTATTAGAGAGTGTCCAAAGAAGGGCAATGAAGACGGTGAAGGGCCTTGAGGGGAAGCCATATGAGGAGCGACTGAGGTCACTTTGTTCAGCCTGGAGGAGACTGAGGGGAGACCTCACTGCAGTCTACAACTTCCTCATGAGGGGAAGAGGAAAGGCAGGCACTGATCTCTTCTCTGTGGTGACCAGTGACAGGACCTGTGGAAATGGCCTGAAATTGTGTCAAGGGAGGTTTAGGTTCAATATTAGAAAGAGGTTCTTCACCCAGAGGGTGGTTGGGTGCTGGAACAGGCTCCCTGGGGAAGTGGTCACAGCAGCAAGCCTGACAGAGTGCAAGAAGCATTTGGATGATACTCTCAGGCACGTGGTGTGACACTTGGGGAAGGCCTGCGCAGGGTCAGGATTTGGACTTGATGATCCTTGTGGGTCCCTTCCAACTCAGCATATTCTGTGATTCTGTGAATTTCGTAAAGTACATCATCCAAGACTTTCAAGCATTTGTTATAAGCATTTATGAAATGATGACAAAGTGTAGCTGGGGTGAGTTAACCTTCTAAACAGAGCCCTTCTAATACTAAATAAAAACAGCTGAGCTTCAGGTTCCAAGATGACACATTATCCTCTACATGCAGGTTTGTCTAGTAAGAGGGCATACTGTTGCCTAACCTACAGCTGAAAAAATTTGAGGCTACAGATTGTTGTTCCCTCAGATAGGCTCTGCTTTTCAATTTTTCTTCTCCCTTCAGCCTTATAAGATCCAAAACTCACTGGACCAGAGAAGAGAGTCACAGAAGGTGCAACACTGATTCCATGAGAGTAAAGTTCTCTCAGACTAGGAGAAACTCTTCAGTTGTTTTATTGTTTAACAATAAAGTTATGCTTTAAAAATTCTCTAAGAAATATGGAATAAAAATATCTTATTAGTAGCATAGAGTTCTACTATCCTATATAGTCTCCTCTGAGTATTACTAATTCCCCTTCCTTCCAATTTGGGGACAGAGGACACACCTGACATATTCTTTAAAGTTAAAGATGCTTTTTGGTTTGGAAGAAGAGGGGAGAGAAAGAAAAGCAGCAAACTAAATGCAAAGAATGCTGAGAATAATAAAAAAAAATAGCAGTAGTTTTAACTGTAATAACTGTAATAATTTCAGAACTCAAGAATTCAGAAGGAGACAGAGACACTGTTACTGTGCAAGCGTTTAAACTATTTGGACTTTATGAAAGGTCTGTATATCTTTAATATCAGCTCAAAAAGCAAGATTGTAGATATGGAGATTCACAGATATAACATCATTCCAATGATACATCTTTATTCAGAACCCATTTCCATCTGCAGATTACAAAAATACAAATGACAATAAAAAAAGAAAATCTCTAGCAAGTAGCTTCAATCTCCATATCACAAATTTGTCTATTTCATTTTGGAAATTCTTAGACTGTCACTACATGCAAGCAGTTAGGATAAGTCATATGATGAGACAAAGCATACTGAAAACTAATGTCATCTTCTTTTACTTTCAATACTTTATACAAACATGGTTTTTGCTCTGAGCTTCAGATTTGCAGGAGGATGTGAAGAACTCAGTGAAAACAGTCTGTACTTGAAAACTGGCTCAAGTATTTATAAACCACGAACATTTAACTCAGTACAGAAGTACAGCAGTACAGAAGATGCAATATGATTTGTAGTCAGTCATCAGATCAGCTGGCAGATGAAGTTTACCATTGTTTAAAATGCTTGCTCTAAACAGCTGGCAGTGTACATTTGAAACTGTAGGTTAAAAAAAATTAACCTGCAACTCCTTCATGTATAAAAAATAATTAATCATTGCCTCGAGTTAAAAATGCCAGTAGACCTTGCAAAGATTATTTATTTTTAACAAATACTTTGGTCTACTTTCTCTTCAGGACTCTCCAAGCAGATAATTTTGCCCACAAAAGGTCCACACTCCCTGCAGTCTTGTGCCCTCTAGGGGGAAAATCACAAACTACACTTTAATCTGAAGCCTAAATTGGAATCAATAAAACACGGGACAGCAAAATAATCCAGACTCCTAGAAGTCTTTAATTCCAAAATGTTATTGAAGGGAAGACTTTTGGTCTTCCCAGAAGGCTAGATCACGATTTTCAATTCGAATACCTAAATATTACTTCCAAGTCACCAACAAAATTGCCTTACATTCAGCAGAAGAATACTTACAACATAGAGGTCACCAAGATCATAAACTTTTCCCTTCCTTTGCCCACGCTGATGTCGATAAACTCCCTTCTGAATGAAAGGCAAGGCGTTTGTTCTGTGAAATAATTCAAAACTGGTATTCAAACAATTAAATTTATTTAGGTTTCTTAGATACAGTGAAAGATGTTTCCTAAAACCTTTTTAAAAAGTAATTTATCCTACCTGTTTCTTCCAAACTGTCGAAATTCATACACAGTGAGGGATCTGTCACATGCGAAAAAAAATCCAATCAACTCTCTACAAGCATCGCGGCCATTTCTAGAAGGGAAATTAAAAAGCACCTTTATGTTTTTTGTCTATATAAATCCAATTCACCCCAAACATAAATAACACTTATTTTGGAATCAGAATGGTGTGGGTTGGGTGGGACCTTAAAGATCATCTAGTTCTAATCCTTCTGCCTTGGGTAGGGACACCTTCCACTACACCAGTTGCTCAGAGCCCCATCCAAACCTGGCCTTGGACACTTTCAGGGATCAGGCATTCATCACTTCTCTGGGCAACCTGTTCCAGTGCCTCATCACTCTCACGGTAAAGAATTTCTTCCTAATATCTAATCTAAACCTGGTTTCTTTTAGTTTAAAGTCATTTCCCCTTGTCCCACCAATACATGCACTTCTAAAAAGGCCCTCTCCAGCTTTCTTGCACCCTTCCTTTAGGCACTGGAAGGCTGCAATAAGGTCTCCCTGGTGCCTTCCCTTCTCCAGACTGAACAATCCCAACTCTCTCAACCTGTTCTGATAGTAGAGGTGCTCCAGCCCTCTGCTCATCTTCATGACCTTCCTCTGGACTTGCTCCAACAGGTACACATCCTTCCTGTGGTGGGGACCCCAGAGCTGCATGCAGTACTCCAGGTGGGGTCTCACGAAAGAGGAGTAGAGGGGGAGAATCATCTCCCTTGACTTGCTGGCCACACTGCTTTTGATGCAACCCAGGACATGGTTGCCTTTCTGAGCTGCAAGCACACATTGACGAGTTCTGTAGCTTCTCATCCACCAGCACCCCCAAGTTCTTCTCCTCAAGGCTGCTCTCAATACCCATTTTATTTCCAATGTTGAGTATTGTACAATTTTTTTAAGAGGTATCTGACTATTTTCTCTAACTCACCGTGGAATTCAACTTGTGGATTCAATCACATATTTTAATGCAATATTCCATTTCTATAATGTCAGAAACACCTTTCAAGGCTTCATGTTTTAGTATACAATATAATTTTCACTCATTAACTAAAGGATTATGTACACCAGGACTACCGCATTCATTGTGCTATATGAAGCTTTGTAGCTGAATCCTCAGCTATGTCTAGTGAGTATACAGCTCACAGCTTCAGATAAGCATGACTTTCAAAGCTGAAAAATATGTTTATGCCACAGCTACTCGAATCAGAACACTTTCAAAGATGTCCTAAAGTTTAATACATAAGGAGCTACAAATAAGCTGCAAAACCACATCTACAGTTGTGACAGTTACAAAAATAAGTTTTAATCAACTGGGATACTATAGCTAAAAGCACTATTTTAAACAGTCCCTGTGTTAACTGTCCTCAACAGAGCTACAGGCATGATGGTAACATAACATGACTTACAGATCTCAACACTACAGTGGGACTGTAAAGCCATTATTCATCAGCTATGTCAAAATTTGTATTATACACGTATGCATATATCTGCAACCACACAGCACATACTTTTTTCCTCAGTATAGGCAACAGAAACATTCAGTGCAAGTAATTAGTTCAAGAGAGTAAATATCATCATTTATAAATTCACAGAATTGAAAAGCTTCACAAAATTTGTGATTACCTCGATATAATCCTACTATCAAAGCGTAGCTTGTTAGAGAGCATATTTTCAGTTAATCCTGATTTGGTCCTTATTCTGTGAAAATAATGCAGCATGTTAACAATACCTATGGGCTCACAGATAAATGTTACATAAAAATCAACCATTTCAAAACAGCAAAAAACATGAAATACGGTATCCTTGGCAACTGGTCGAGGAGACGATCCCTTGTAGTTGAATTAGAAAGCAACTCAGAGTTGTAATATGTTCTGTTATTATATAATATGAGAGTATATTCACAGAAGGCATAAATATGAATGGGATATTTTGTTTACACACATTTTTATAAGAATTAAACCTCTGCCACTCACCATACTTCCATGAATCAATGCTGTCTTGCAAAAATATCCAGACTGAGGCTTCTTTACCCACCTAAATGTTTTATATTGGCCCTATTACTAGTTCCAGAAACGAAGATTTGTCCCTGTGATGGGTGTAAGAGATTGAGAGACTGGTTTTGTTGTCTTCCTTCTTTGTTTAAGATTACAAAGATGGCATTTGATGAGAAAGACTTTAGAGTATGATGTTAAAATGCACAAAGCAGAGATGCTTGCCTGAATGTTGAAACAAATTAACAGAACAAAACTCAGACCTGCAGATTCATTGCATTTTACAGATCACAGTGTTTTTTCATTTTTTTCTTAAGTCCTTGCAGCTACTGTTTCAATGCTCACAGTCCAGGAATGTAATTTAAATGCCAATTAGGATTAATTATTGCAGCAGAAATCAAAACATGAAAGAAAAGTAAAATTACATTGTGTCAATCTACATTATCATTTACAGATGCATATTTATGCAATTTATGCACCTCAGGATATGACAGGATTGCAAGCATCGAACTTGCTTGGAAAAGGCTGGCAAAACCTTGTGATAAATAATACCAATATAAGCTTAAAAATGTTCTCCCAGGTTTTATAAATTCTATGAATCAATCATTATACACAAAGAATCCACATAAAAAGGTCCCACTAGGCAATAATAAGCACAAGAAGGCTATAAAAAAGGCCTCACATGAAGCTGGTGGATCCTAGCCAGAAATAAAACATCTGGAAAGGCAAACAAACTTCACAGAGCCAAAAAAAACCCCAAACCAGCAGAAAATGTATTTCTATAAACTTACTTCGTTTCATGCAGTATTCTTTTTCTAAAATGCACTGGTGCTGTCCCAAGTCCCTGAAGTCCTTGAGCTTCCTTGCAAACATCAGAACGTGTAGACTGCTCTGGGTCACTTATAACAGCTCTGACCACAAAAAGCAGGGAGAAGCCCTCTGACTATTAGTATGTTTCAGTTTCAGGTCTTACATATTTTTACTCAGGAAAGAAAACACCAAAGAATAACACAGCAATAAAATCTCGGAGTTATCCATTAAGCTTGTGTAAATTTCTGGACTTCATTTTTTGTTTGTTTTTACAAATTCTTAAGTTTATTACTTAAAATCAAATATATGCAATAATATTCTGGCAGTGCCTTACTATCTAGTAACTTTACATGTATATATGTATTATTTAAAGTATATTTTACATATTTTGATATAAAATAAATCTTAGTATTATGAAGGTTTGTGGGTTTTTTCATGATTTCCACTGTTTCGGTAAATATTCCACCAGTGATATTCTTCATACATGGCTCCCACCAAGATCAGTGACAGTAGTTTCTAATAGTGGCCAGTGACATCATCAAAGAATCATAGAATGGTTTGGGTTGGAAGGGACCTTAAAGACCATTTAGTTCCAACTCCCCTGCTGTGGGCAAGGACATCTTTCACTAGACAAGGCTGCTCAGAGCCCCATCCAATCCGTCATCCAACAAAAACATTGGCACTTCCTTTCCTTCCTCAAAGCGCTGACTACAGAGCTGATAGGATCTCAAAGTCCCATCAAGCAGAAAAGAAATAGATTAACTGGTTTTTGAACATTTTGATATTTTCTCTATCTGTTCAGCAAGTAAACAAAAGACCTTTTAAAAATAAATGAGATGCCTGTTGTTATTGAAATGGTTATCAGAAGGAAAAAAAATAATTTTGCACAGCTATTATGGTTTTCTAAACCTGCTCTCTTGATCTATACAGATCCATCTTTGCACACATCAGTTACGCTGATTTAAGTGCAAAATTGGCTCTACTAAAAAAAAAATATATTCAAAACACCCTTGTGTTTCCTTTAATAGGTTTTTTTTCATTCAACAGTTTTGAACTACTCTTCTCCAATTATCTGATAACAATTAGTTTGGCAGTACTGGCACAGTTATACTTGTAACATAAACAGAGAGATTTTTTAAATTAAAACTTCATCTTGATGCAACTGTAGCACTACTGAATATTGGTCTGACACTATCAGTAGAAGGGTTCAGAGCAGAAAGAATACATGGGAAAAATAAAGCAAAGCAGCTGAAGTAGGTTAAACATAGAATGAGCATTCTTGACCTAAGATGCACAAAGCTGTACATTTAATGCTACATAGTCGTACTGAAACACTTCAACATAACCAGTGTATTTTTAAGATCATCTCTGTAACAATCTTTAAAGAGGTATGACACAGGCCAAGCATTTATTTAAAAACTGGGGATTTCTACACTGAATAGTTGCCTAATTTTAATCCTGCTACAATGACACTTGTAATTTATCATTATGTTTCATGACAATCTTGTTTCCCTCAGGCAACCTTCCTTTTATCTCAGCTTTTAAGTAACATAAAAGCATTAACAGACTTTTAAACAATATAGGTAATTTAACAGCCATCGTAACAAAAACAAAGAAAAAATAAAATGGTGAGTGCGACAACATTTCAACCTCAAAGTCTTAAGATCTGATGGGCTAAAATACCAGTGCAGATGACTACAGAGACTGTAAAATAGGCACAGAATGCGACATACTGTAGACGTACCCACAGATAATTCTTAGCAAGAATAAACTAAAATGAAACTATATTAAACTAGCTTGCATCTTCCTATATTGTCATAACTAGACAGCTTGCATAAAGCCCTGAATTATTAAACCATGCTTAAAATAGGGGGATCCTTCCATACAGAAGCAATGCTTTCTTGTAGCTAAAGGGACAGCAATGAATTTAGGAGAGCCTTACTGTACAATTTTGATCAACTTGATTTATCATTCTGTCTTTTTTTCCCAGCTGCCCAACACTGGTATAATACTCCTTTATGCCTGAAAGATGTTGTGTCAGTATTATTAAAGGAGTATTAATAAAGCTAAGATTCCAAGAAAAGACAATAAATACCGAAGAAGTGTAATTTGTAACATCAGGCATCCATGTATTTTGTTGCGGTACAGGAGGGTTATTTCTGTGAGCTAGCGCTATTAAATCCCTTAAAATAGGTTCAAGTATAAAATTAAAAATTATTCTCAGAAAAAAGATTAACATACACATAGCACTTTATAGAGATCTCTTAAGTTATGTTAAAAAGACTTTTAATTTAGAATTTTTGCAAGCAATACTACTACATATGACTGCATAAGACTTGGAACAAGATGACCAAAACACCTCTTAAGCAAGAAAAGCCACACACAGATCTAAATTCTTGTATAAGGAAAAATGCAATTTTATATCATAAATTCACTTACCTACATAACTGATCCACCATCACTTGTTCTACTACAGCCTGTTTTCTCCTCTCTGCAGCAACATCCTCCTGCGATGAAAAACTGACTGAGTGCAAATGAAATATATAACATCAGGTACTTCAAATAATAAATTACTCTTTAACCATCAGAGGTCACAATCTTACCAATGTCCCAATTAATATTTTTTCCATCTTTTTTAAATGGTGTTCTATTAGCATAACAAATATGCATTAATATTCTCTGCTACACACTAAATTTGTCTATGCATATTAGTTGTCAATAAATATGAGAATTCTACTATTTCAACTGACAGGCAGCATCCTTATTTCTGTATTGTTTCTGAGACATTATGTAAGTACAATAGAGCCTGAGGAAAATCACACTATTCCAGGTTTCATGGTTGACACAGATTCCAACTCTGAGAATGAAACTTTACCTCCAGCAATATTTAGTCAAAAAAATTCTTTTAGTCTCAGTGCAAGATTTTTCTCTCCTGCATGCCACAATAATTTTCTGCTGAGACAGGCCAATCTGAAAAGCCTTTCAGGAAATATCATCCTAAGGGGGAAGGGGATTTAACATGAACCTATTATTTTTATTAAAGTAATACTGAATCATAACCTTGTGCTGCTCACTGTAAAGTGTGCAGATGTTGATCAACACCTCTTACACAGAAAGAAACCGAAGCACAAGAGGATGCCCCAGAACAGTATAGAGGTCACCAGCAACAACCAGACTTCAGCATCTCTTTGTTTTATCTTCCAGATTTCTAAACTTTTTCATAACTTAAATTTGCCTTTTTTTTTCCAAAAGACAATTTTTATATATAAGAAAACAGAGATTATTGTTACTTAGGGGGTTTATGCAACCTTTCTGATATTTTTTTTAGGTATTCTGAAACTAAAGAATTAAGATGTTTTTCCAATTGGTAATTTTTTCTGCACGATTTTTGTGTGCAAACCAAATTCTAGAGAGATCAAGTCTTTCCACGGATGAAGAAGATCTGAAAGGTGGTTCCCAGACACCAGGTAACCATAACAGATAATTTCCAATTCCACAGAGATGTTATGGGTAAAATTCACATCATTCAAAATAAATACTGCTTGGCACTAGTCAAAAAAAAGCCAAATCTAAAAAACCCAAATAACTAATGTAACACCAGACCAGCTGCTGGTTATCCCAAACTGATTTTAGACCTTAAAAGATTTCTGAATTATAGGCAATAGGGGGCTTTTTAGTTTGTTTTCGTATTTCATTTTTGTAGCTATCAGAACTACAGGGTGCTTTATTCTGAGTTATTGATTCTGCCCATTAACTGTCACAACAGATGTATTAAAAGGCATGATGTAAAGGAGGACATAGGGATAATAAAGAGCACTGTTTGTTAAAACAGAACATATTCCATGGACCTTGGCTTATAGGCCCAAACCAGTTAGCATGCTGGAAAGAATGTGATTTAAAAAAAAAGGAAAAAAAATAAAAAGAAAGCTTACACATTGAATTTCAATGAATACTATGAATAAATGTACTTTTCCATGGAACATCCTCCATTCAGCTCTTAGACAAAAGCTCTACTATGAATTTACAAAAACATAGAATGCAAACACTGAACTTGCAGCAGCTCTCACTGTTTAGAAAGTAGTAACTGTTGTTCCCTAAATATGACAATTAAGAGAAAACCGTCCTTTTTCAAAGGTTATTGAATTACTTATTTTCAAAAGTAATTGTCATCTATTGGCAATTACACATATACTATAAACTTTCATCTCAAACTATAGAAAAGTTAGGAGAAATTCTACTTTAACATTTGACTTTTTGGTAATGATTACAGTAAAAGGACATGTTAACATTGTGTATTCTTAAGCAAAATTTTAAAGCACTTTAAAATCAAGTGGCAGCAATTGAAGCAACATTTACACAATGGAATTAATATGCACGCAGTCACTTCTGCTGATTTTTTCCATTATTCTTACTGCTATCAGAAGCATGAACCTGGGAGAACCTAAGAGATGCTGCTAGAAAAAGTGAGTCAACCTATGTAACCATGTGTGCTAATCAATAACAAAAGGGCTTCTGAAGGTCCCATTAACACCTTGCTCAGACACCTCCTGACTTCCTTTTAGAGCATACCAGCTGCAGAGTACCTGCTATTTTGTGGTCCTGCACTGCTCCCTTTCTCAGTATTTTCATCTTATTTGATTTGATACTAAGTAGTTACTCTAGTGAACTTCAAGACTTTTTTCCATTATCTTCAGCCTATAGTATATTTTCAAATTTTCAAATCTTATTTTAAAAATAAGAGCTTCTTCAAGTTCTTCATAAAAGTACTTTCTCAAAAGATTTTCTTATCATGAAAATGAATAGTGACCCCAGTAGTGAAACATCTGCATTCACTTTGACAAGACTAGAAATCAAATAAAGGCTTGCAATGATGTGAATTTCAGTGCATAGTCATGAGCAAACAAAATAAATTAAAATTATTATTTACTTTAAAACATCATAAAATTTCTCATGGATTAATATTCCACGAGAAAGTTAGAATGTATAACTCTGCTCAACAACACTTTCAAAAAACAGCTATGAAAGCTATCACTTTGCATATGCAAATACTGAATCATGCAAGATCAAATCAAGGTTCTTCATCATTGTAAATGATCCTAATTCAAGAGCTAACCTTAGATGGGCAAGAAATCCTAATGGCTCAGTCCTAAAAAGAGTAGAATGTATGTCTATGTAAGGAATTAAAGAAACATATTGGGTACGTCTATATAAGAAAAGTTTTAACTCCCTTCTATGCATGCTAGTGAGGCCATACTTGTTCCATTTTTCAGAGCTCCCCCCTTCCCAAGATCAACAGGGATGAGAGAAACCTGGAAAGGATCTGACAGAGGATCAGAGCCAAAGCAATTGAAAGGAGAGTCTAACGGAGCTTGGGTTTGTTTAGTTCGCAAAAACAGCAGCTATGAGGCATTCTAAAAACATCCTGAGACAAAAGAGAAGTTACAAAGAAGACATAACCAAACTTTTTTTGACAGTAGCCAACGGTATAACAGGAAGTGAAGGTTAAACACTGAGCCTTGGGAGGCTTGGTACAGGCAATAGGAAGAACTTCTCAAGGACAGCAGGGTATGACATGAAGACGAAGACGTTGGCTAGAGATGCTGTAGCAGCTCCATCCCTGGAGCTTGAAGACTTGGTCAAAGTCATTGCTGACTTAATCTAATATTAGCAGCAGAGCTGATGGAATCATGGAATCCATGGATCATGGAACACAGGCTCAGCTAAAAGCTACAGATCAGAGGAAATCATAGAATATCCCGAGCTGGAAGAGACCCACAAGGATCATCAAAGTCCAGCTCCTGGCACTGAATGTAACACTATGTTCGGGTTCAGTCAAATCACTCAGTTATTCTTAGTTGTATGAATATATCTGTATTTATTATTCATAATTTTCATTCTCAGTTATATACATTACTGCATAAAACAAAAGCATTGCAGATAAGATTTAAAAAATGTTCACTGGGTTGCTCAGTTCAGCTCCCATTGAAAGAAATTAGAACCAAATCACCAAAGGCATAACTTCTGCTGAATATCTGGGAAGTCATTCTCCATATCCAGATTGTTAACAGCATAATACCAGTCAAAATACTTACAGCTTCCAATTTCCTTATACTGTGCTGCATATTATAGGGCTTGTTTGTGTAGCATTGTTGCAGGAGAGCTTTCTCATCAAGAGCTATAAGACCATCATTATGTCCATCTTCAAGCTGTTTACTCTACACAAAAAATACAATATTTTTATAAATCAAATTTAACGAATTATAAGAAAAACAACCAAAAATCCCACACACCTTTTCCTCAACAATTCATTTAAAAGTCCTTCTCTTTCTTCTTTAAAGTCTCTACTACTTCTACTTCATGATAATTAAAAAAGAATTTTTTAAGCATAGCTTTCAACAGAAACTGAACTTATAAATCTTGCTCTCTAATCTTTCCTTATCTCTTTTGAATACTTACCAGCTTTCATTTACACTGAAATAAATTTTAAAAAAAGCTCAAAAGGAGTGTATTCCTACAAGCTTTATGAAAAAACAGCAACAAGTCAGAGAAAGCAGACTGTAGTACCTCTGAGAAGACAATAGCTCATCCTTTTTCTGTTCTGTTCAAGAACAGCCAAGAGAAAGCAGTGGATTTGCTGTTAGGCACATAGTTCAAAGTTCACCACTGCAGTGAGGCTGCTTTGTGACCAGCAAAGAAGTTAAATATAGTCTACATAGGGAAAAGCCAAAGCAGGCTGCTGAATGGTTCTAAGAGACTTGTAAATCAGTCCCAGCGTATTATAGAAATATCTCCTACAGGAAGGATATGAAGAAAACGGACAAAGGAGACTGTTTACAGAAGTCAGGAAGGAGGTAACAAGGGAATGAAATCGAAAGAGTAGGTTTGTTAGCAGTGCTCCTCAAAAAGCAGCTTCTTTCCAGAAAAGAAAAATTATTACAACTTCCACTAATCAATTAAAATAAGTGTATTGAAATCTAAAGAGGTTTTGATTCATTAATCTAACCAGGTAATGATAATGTCTAACACAAAAAAATTGTTCTGATAGACATTATATTAAAATCTGTGATAAGAACTGGCACACGTACTTTTAGTGCTTAGCGAAAATCTTTCTGGAACCTAAAATCACCAGAAAAAGCCAGTCCTGCTTTTTTTCTCCCAGTATACACTTGCCATCCATTTCTTCATTTTCAGATTAACTCGGCTGCTCTCATTTGCCACCAAACATAAAACTAAACCACAAAATAACAGATCCTTTTTTCATTCACTTCTTATTCATGGAATATTTATAGGGTTTTGCAGGTTCTCCAATTTTTTCTGAACACTAGAAGCCTGACTCTGAGAGGACAAATCTCTTTTAAAGCTATCAACAATATGTGTAAAATGATAACAACAATATGTGAAACATAATCTTTGTCCTATGTAAGATCTTTCCCTTTTCATTCCACTGAACGTTAAGCAAATAAAATCAGTAAACTCATTGTTATTCACCACAAACCTTTTCTCTGAAAAGCAATGAGCACAATATGTTCCCTGAACATCTGCATACTTAACTTCTCATTAAGATTCTTAAATGGTCATCTACCCTCACAGCAGAGTTTAGCATTTGGCCAGTCCTCATAGCTGTTGCTTATTTATGTTTCCTGCTTCCTTACACCTGCAGTGATGTATCTTTCCCTGTTCAACCACCCTTCTCTGCTATATATTCCTGAACAAGAGGAAAGTTGCTTTTTTTCACCCCTTTGGTTTCCAGTTTCTCTCCACTGATCTTCCCTTCTTTGCATCTTAGTTTTAATTTAAAAACACAAAACAAACCTGGCAGAATTAATACAGCCTGCAGTCCAACTGCAGCACATCTTATACAACATCAAAGCAAAAAGTATAGATAACTATCTTTCATTATTTTAACCCCATATTCCTTTCCATTTTCAATGTTAGTAGTTCCCCTCAGGGACAGATTACATCTTTCATTTCTCCTTTTTTAAGTGCTATATACAAGTCACAATTTAATAGAATAATAATTATAATAATCCTATATTTAAAAAATAAAAAAGCTTGAATTAATTTTACCAAGATCTTCCCACTGTCTCTCACCTTCTTAGGCTGTAAATTCTTCCTTACAGTCATGCTAATCCTCATGCTCAGGCTAGAGGTGCACTATGAAGGCAATGTGTTACTTTTCTTAACAGAGAATACAAACATACTTAAATTGTCAGAGCACCTCAGTTTCTTGCTCTGGAACAACTGAAACAAGCTTCCTATGTTTTATTTCCTCTTCAACATTAAATACTGAAATTACATGTTTCTATTTCTTTACAGTAAAAACATGGAAGAAGTTAATTACACACACATGCAACCTTCTCCAAAAGTGTAATTAAATACTAATGTGCATTTGCTGTTTAAAAATTTAATTACTACTTTGCCAGCTACCTTTACTGAAGCATCTGAACACTGGAGGTGGTCCTTCCTCTTTTCTGCAATTCTCTGAGGATATTGCTCATATTCTTCCTTCGTATCTGGTTCACACTGATAATGCTTCAGTTTGTATCCATCTGTTGGGGATGGTAGATTTTCTGGTCTTGTCTTCTGCTCCAAAACAGAACGTCAAAGCAAAGAGTAATCAATATAGAAGTCTCTTATTGATCTATTGAATGAGAACAGCATTAGTTTAATTCCTATCCAATATAACTTCAGAAACTTCTTGACATGATGCTTCAAATTAGGAAGAAATGCAAACATGACTGCATGACTGCATATTCAAGCTTAATTTTCATTGAGTTTTTCAAATTCTACCATTTTTAAATATAAAAAATACACAGTCAAGTAGTTTTACTTAGTTTTTTCTTTAAAGAAAGAAGCCAAATTCAGTGGTTCCACCCTATAACATGATGCTACAGATCACTGAAATTGAAAGTCTGATATTTGTTTCTGGATGGCTGAAAATGGGCAAATGGATATTTTTCAGTCAGAAGTTCTAATATTCTTGTATGGCAGATGAGTATGAGCACTGGGACTTTGTTCCCTAGAACAAGAGCAGCTGAAAAGGCTAAGTACATTTACGACCATTTAGGGCTCCACACAATGGAGGCTGGGATCAGTAGAAACAGCAGCAGTGTCAGAAGGCCAAGACGCCATTCTTTTTTCTCTCCCTCAATAATTAACACTTTCAATGTTTAAGTTATATTCCTTCAGTGCCAACAAAACTAAGGTGACCGTATCTAGCATCTCTACTGGACACAATTCATCTTGCAACAGCGGTGTAACAGTCCTGCTCTAGAAAGCCATTTCTCAAAACCCAAAAAGAGTTATGTTTCTGAAAGGCCAACTTTTGCTTTTCAAGAGAGGAGTCACATCATTTAACTGGTTAATTCCTAAATGATAAGACTATGTTTAAATTATTCTTCCAAAAGTGACCTATTTTGGGAAGATTACTTACACAGTTATTGAAGAAGCTGGAATGTATCTTGCTAAAGGAAACCTCAGTCAGGGCCCCAGAAGCAAGCAATGCAGAAATAAAGGCTGCTCAGAGGAATATATTAAAGTATTCCAGAACAGCTTGAAAATTTTCTCAACAAAACAGAAGTGGGGAGAAAGTTAGGCAAAAAAAGAGAGACAGAGAGCAAAAAAGGGTAAGCAAACAGAAGGTACATTCCAGCACACTGAGTGCTCGGTATTTAAGACAAAATGAAGGCAGAAAGAAAGCAAAAAGAGATAAAGGAAAGCAGAGAAGGAGAAAGACCCCGAGAAACAGACAAAGCCATGCCAATCCTCCATTAGCACTCCTGCAGCTAGACAGAACTGTATGTATGAACTTTGTTTTTAAAACAATGGTAAAGCAAGCAGTGAAATTGTAAGTATCCAGACCTAAAAAGGCTATAGCAACTCAAGTATGTTTGCACTTCACATTTACAATGCAGTACAGACAAAAACAATCTATACGTAGTTCCATGTTTACAGTTACATCTTAAGACATGCAAAAATACCTATTTGGGCACACATTCTAGAAAGTAACACATTTTTAGTCCCTTATTTAAAAAGGACCAAAAAACACTTAGCCAATTTTTTTTTCAAGTTGAGAAACTATTTGGCTTTACAGGGAAACACACAAAATTGTGATCTTGGCAGATTCACATTGAACTCCAGCCAATTTGGAGTCCTGCCCTGCAAGTAACTATATTATTTGTTTGAAGGGGTGCAGGTTATGTACAAATTTATTCAAAACCGTTTTTCCCTCTAGTTACATTTCCGGGTTTTTTTTTTAAAAACTCATTAGAATATGTCTTAGGTTTACATACATTAAATATTTTTAAAATAATGGATTTTTAATAGGTTTATTTTTTAGTTCTTCCAAAAAGAGAGAAAATTGTTATTTCCTGCATCCTGTGCTGGTTTTGGCTGAGGCAGAGTTAATTGTCTTCACAGTGGCTAGTATGGAACTATGTTTTGGATTTATGCTGAACACTGACGATAATGCAGAGATGTTTTCGTTATTGCTAAGCAGTGCTTACATGGAGCCAAGGCCCTTTCTGCTTCTTGTACCACCACACCAGTGAGGAGGCTGGGGGTGCATGGGAAATTGGGAGTGGACACAGATGGGACAGCTGACCCCACCTGACCAAAGGGATATTCCATACTATATGACATCACGTTCAGCATATAAAATAGGCAGAAGGAGGAAGGGGGGGATGTTTGCAGTGATGATGTTTGTCTTCCCAAGTAACTGTCACACGTGATGGGGCCCTGTTCTCCTGGAGATGGCTGAACACCTGCCTGCCCATGGGAAGCAGTGAATTAATTCCTTGTTGTGCTCTGGTTTTGTGCTTTTGCGTTCCATATTCAACTGTCTTTATCTCAACCCAGGAGTGCTTTTTCACTTTTACTCTTCCAATCTCTCCTCAGTCCCACTGGTGGGGCAGTGAGCAAGTGGTACTTAGTTGCTGGCTGGGATTAAACCATGACACACTCGAATCAAAAACATATTACTACTTGTGAGACTTTTGCCATGATTATATATGGTGCATATTATAACAAAAAATAACCATGTAGGTAGCATTCTTTCTGAATTAAAGTTCTATGTATCAAATCTCTTGAATATACAATAGTAGAAAATATATATAAACAGAATAATGTTTGTACTTCAGCATTTTCCCTTTAATTATCACATATGAAACACTCAAAATACTGATGGACTGACTGCAGATTAAAAAGTTTCTCCAATAAGCTAGTTCCTGTCACATAAAAGACATTAAAACATACTACATTTTCAGAGCATATACCATAGTATTGAACTGCTAATGTTTTCTATCAGTCTATATTTTTTCAGCTACTTTACCTCCATGTTGTTATGACCAAATTGTCTAGACACCTGTTTAAACGAAAACAAATTAATATGTATCATGATCAAACAAAAACTCGTCGTATTCATTTTTTCAAATTTAATTTAAATATAAGAGTTTAAATGAAAATTTTTCCTTCATTCAGGGAACTGTAATAGCTGAATAACCAGATTAATTCTTCAAATTTTTACAGTAGAGATTGATCCTGAACAATGCTTTACTGCACTATAACCCAAAATGTTAGTATCTGAGCTACTGATTTTCCTTATAAAGAATCTAATATTAGTGGTGATTAAGTTTCTTAGTCATCCAACGGGAAAAAATGCTAACATGTGATCAGGAAATTGTAACAAATAAAAGAGCTATGACAAACTGAACATAATTCCAAAGTTTATGTCACAGTTCTGGTTTAGACAACAGCCTTAAGAAAAATCCTATGAAATGTCTGCAAGTAACTCCAAAAGTTTTCTTTTCACCAGAAGTAACAATTCTTCCATAGAAGCAATACTCAGTGCTTGTAACATCTCAAAAGTATTATATTTTTCAGTTCCTTTGACAAATTGTTAATAAAACTAGCTATTAATACATATCTTAAAAATAATTACAACAAAAGGATAAGTGTATCAACCAACAAGAAACAGCTAAGGTATGTAAGAAAATAGGTTTTTGATAGAGGCTTCTCATTAAAAACTACTCTGACAAAAATATTTTTGACCAACAGTAGCTGGAGAAATGAGTTTAACCAGAAGGAAAACAGAGAGAACTTGTATTAAAAAAAAAAGGTATGTATGCTTTTCTAAATTACTACTAAAGGGGCATATTATAAAGATATTTGTAGTGACAGACTGACATGTTGATGCTGTGCACATGGCGTTTGTAATGACATTCTCCAATCTGAAGATGAATCTAGCTGGCATGTATGAGGACAGCTTCCACTGTACGGTATGTAAGAGTCCCCATCCTAAAATTACAGGAAAAAAACAACAAGCAATCATGATTGTTTTACATTCAGAGTGGTATTTTTACCAACTCCTGCAACACATGAATTCTAAAAACTATTCAGCACAGAATTAACTTATAATTACCTCTTCATCAGAATCTCCCAGCTTCCCTAGATCTAGGCATGGTACCCTGCAGGAAGTTAAAACTATTTTAATAGCAATACGATCTCTTATTTTTAATAATGAGGAAGAACGTCTTTACTGTGCAAGTGACCACACACTGGAACAGATTGTCCAGAGAGGTTGTGGAGTCTCCCTCACTAGAGATATTCCAGAACCATCTGGACATAATCCTGTGCCATGTGCTCCAGGATGACCCTGCTTGAGCAGGGAGGTTGGACCAGATGGACCAGTGGGTTGGATCCACTGTGGTCCCTTCCAACCTTACCCATTTGGTGATTCTGTGATTCCAACTCCACTGTTAAGCTCAACCAAACGTAAATCAACTTAATTCCAATGTAAAGAATGCATCAAATATTCTACTCCAAAAACGAATCACAGAAAACAAACCTATGATAACAAATTTCATGGAACAGTGAGTTGCACATCAATACAAATGCAAATGCATTGTGTTAATAATGCACAATTAAATAAAAGGATCAGAAACAGAAGCAGACTTACTCTGGTGGGCGGGGACTGTGACTAGCCCGTGTATCTGGTCTCCAGCCCTAGAAGAATGACACATGATTACATACCTAGGGGATAAGGATTAAAATATATAGTTCTCTTTTTCAATTTCCCCTTAAATATTTAAAACCAATGGTTCTAACTATCTGTCTGACATACTTGATGAAGTTGCTTACAAACAGGAAGAAAAGAACTCATTGAAAGCTGATTCTTACAGATCATCAGACTGAATGACTGAGTATTCATCATCATGACAGAAAGATTCCCAGCCATTAAGAATCCAGATAGCATCCACATCAGCTATTAATAATACATTAAAAATAATCCATGTTCCTGAGGCTTTGTACCATCACAGCTCACAGGGCTTTAGGTCACATTGTCCTTGTTGCCTAGGAACCTACCCTTAAACCAAAACCACAATACCAACAACAAGCTGGTTCACAAGGAGCTAGCTCAGACACCCAAGAACCCCTGATATTTGTTGTAACTGTTTCATCTCAGCTTTAGTGTAGAAGTACATGATGATGACTAGGCAGCTCACACTGTTTATTTTGCTGTGTACCTCATAGATCTCCAAATTCAACTGAGCAAGAACACGGCAAGAAAAAAAGACTCGAGCCAAAGCTTCATCTACCTATCCCCCTATGACTTTCTGAAAACAGCTCACAGCAAATCCCCAGGGAAGGCAGCTTGACAGTGGCAAGCACATAGTAACAACTCCCCAAACTGGTCTCCTAGTCTGAAAAAAAATGTGGGTCGGGAATGTTCAGAACCAGGGCCAAAATCTCTTTTCAAACCTTTGAGCTCAGAGATCTCAGCATCACAGCCTGAACTGACCAGACATGCTATTTCCAGCAGTGCCCAAACATCTTTCACGATCTGAGAGCAGCCACATAACTCACAAAACTGTAACTCCATTCTTTCCATACACCCTTGTGGCCTGCTCCCAAAAAAGAAGTTCAGCAACACTACTCTAGTGCCTTCAAAACATTATTCAGCATATTCAGGTTTAAAAGACAGTTTCTATGCAGTACGGTCGCACGAAATGACACCGCCACCGTGTGGTCACGTACATAAAACCGTTAAGGGGTCAAACACAATTTAATCTTCATCCTTACGACTAGATACAATGCATTAAATCTCAAGTTCGTATTTTTTCTGTACCATCACAACTGTGTTGAGTTAAAGAACAGACCACATTCTAAATGCTACAGTCTTAATGTAATTCCTTTTCCAGAAGTCATCAAATCAGGAAGAAAGCAAACAAAAATCATCCTGAAGACTGGGGTGAAGCACGTGGTTTCAATCTAACTTTCATTTAAGATTTATTTTTTTCAAACTACCAAGAATCACATGGACTAGGGAGTCTAAATTTGGAAACTCAGATGCGCAAGAAAGAAGAAAGAAAGGGATGAGAGATTTAGAGAAAAATTGACATTTCTTTTCTTTTACAACCTACACTAAATGCCTCAAATGTTCTTGTTGTACACAGGCATTTAGATTTCAAAAACCTGGTTAAAAGTTAACATTATAAAATTGATAACATTTACAAAAGGTCCTTTTTCATTCCAAATGAAAGTGAAAAGAAAAAATAGCAACTTGGCAGTCAAACTCCAAGAATTCCTGATGGGGTCATGCAACAAATAAGGAAGTTAAATGGGTGCTTGGGGGCTGAGAGAGGATTAGCAATTAACTTTAGTTCACAGACATAAAGTACACAGTATCTGTGAGAAAAATCAAGTGTTAATAACAATATTAATATTTACCTCAGCTATAAGAAAAGCAATGGCCTTCAGAATCCAAGATCCTATTTGTACTGACTTTCAAAAGTTAGCCTGAAAGTTTCTGATATAGTGATCTTGCAGGGGTTGCATACCTGCCTTATCTCAAAGCACATTAGGAACACCAGGAAAACAAAATGCCCCTTCATTCTGAATGCAGAGCACTCATTCATTTTACCCATCAATCTAAAATCATGCCTTTTCAAATTATATTTTTATATTATATATTACTGACGTCTTGCAAATCAAAACCAGACATACCTGTTACCAGTTTCACCAATAGCCTGAGACAGCACACAGTACGGATTCAAGCCTCTGTTGCTTTTAATTGCAAGTAATAGTTCATTCTTAAAATCTCCACATCCCAATTAAGTACTTAGAGTATCAACTATTTTAGGACAACTGTTTTTATTGGAATTTCTCACCTTCATTTGAGAAGTTGTCATACTAAACTATCCCTTTCTGACAAAAACTTCTTTAAAAGTTTTCTTTTCTATAGAATGGATTATAACCTCAAACTAAGAATCATCTGAAGTATGATTAAAATATTTGTTACAATGTCAAAGTAAGGAAGGAAAACAACCACAAGCCTTCCATTAACATACCTGACATTTCTTTCCCCTCAATGACAGCTCAGCCTGCCTTCGAGGGGATGCAGCAACTCCTTTCACTTCCAAATCCATGCAAGTTCAATGATAGCTTTCACAACAAACTGAAAAACAGGAAAGACTATTATTTTTCATATAAGTACTTCTGGAAAAAAAACCCCACATTATTGCATTAGAAAGAATTTGGGTATTGTCTTCAGCAAGCTATGAAATGTTGCTGGCTTCCCTTTTTCACCACTTCTTAATTTCAGTCTTTCCTTACTAATGCTTAACCAGATTCCTGTTCAAATGTACGTCTTTGTCTCAATCTTAACTCCCTCTTTGCCTTACACTTCTTGATAGCTTCTCATATAAGCATTACTAATTTGCTACCCCTTCGCAACATCAAACCTTTTGTACTCTTCACTTACAACTGCTGGCTCTCCTTCGCACCATGCCCTGGGAACAGGTAATTTCAGGAAGACAAAAGGGCCCTCCCGACACACAGCAAGCCCCCGACAGCTCCAGAAAGACATTCATCTTCGTGCCATCTCCTGCTCTGCTGGCTTCTCCTTCCACTCAGCCCGTTTTGAACCTAAAGCCCACCATTTAGTTCCCAGCAATCGGACGCTCCATTTCCAAACCATCCCCCACAGAAGGTGACCGCATTTCTAACCACATACAGTGTTTCAATCCCCAAGCGCCCGCTCCTTCACCGAGCGGCGGCACGGCTGCGAGGCCTCCTCGGATGGGCACAGCGCTCGCTCCCCGCACAGACTTCCAGCCATTCCCCCTCAGGGCATGCGGAACGCCCTCGCACGGCCTCCAGCCTCTCCTGAAATGGAGTATCCTCCCACCTGAAGGCACAGAGGGGAGAAAGCACTGTTGTACTTAAAGGTTCACACGCCGAAATAACTTTTATCACGAACAAGAACGCTGTAAGAGGCGAAATAAACACCATGGGCTCGGCAGCTCCAAGGAAACGATGCGTTTTCTCAGGAGAGGCGCGGGGCACCAGGCGGCTCCCGCCGGGCTGTGTCTCACCGGAGCCGTCCCACCGCGCACGGCCGGCGGAGCGGGCCCGGCCCCCGCGCGTCTCCAGGGTGCCCGCGCCCCACCTGCCGCCGAGGGCGGGGGCCGATCCCAGCCACGCTTCGGGGGCACATCGCCGCAGTGGGGAAGCGGAATTCCCGATTGTTCCTACGCCCTGCCCGGGGCGCGGCTGCGTGCCCGGCTCTCCCTGCCCGCCCTGCCCCGGCGGCCCCCGCAGCCTCGCCGGGAAAGCCGGGCGCGTACACACCGCACGGAGTCGAGTCCTTCACAAACCCCGGCAGCCGGCATCGGAGACTTCAAAATTGCAGCGAAAGGGCTCACGGTGCCCTGGGTCCGAAATACAGCAATTACCCCAAAGTAGCCCAAACCTCTTCGGATAAGGGCTCCAAGTATCAGCACCATCCGAAGACTAGGGGACATGAAAGCCACCACAGCGATGATTCAGTCACTGCCGCGGGCAGGGAAATCCTGCGGAAAAGGACACCAGCAACAGCGCCTGGAAGGCAGCAGGACTGGCCTGCATTCTGCAAACACTTCGGCAGCACAGCACGCCTGGCTCCCATTCCCTCATTCCCCTTGATCAATGGCTTTGATCACTTCATTCAGTTCACTTTATTAAGCATCTCAGAGAAAAGCCTGTATGCAACAATGACTTTTTCAAACAGTTCCAGTTGTCCTGAACGACCAGACCAACATCAGGTATTTTTAAAAATTCAATTGTGTCCAAGTACTTCTGATTCATCCATTCTGTCTTGGGGAAAAAATCTGTGCCCCTTTAAGAAACCCTGGCTTTGTACTCCATAGTTTTCCAAAGTTAGGCAAAATCTCACGTACTGCAAAACTACTAGTACACTGACGCTAAGGATGTATTTCTGGCTGCTGCTATTTCCAAGCCTGTGTGATTCAGTTTTAGGACCAAAGACATACCATGTTTATACACCAGAATGAACAATTAATTCCATTCCAGTGAGTGACACAGTAATGGATTTAGTCCCTTAAAGTACAGTACATTTCCTCCAGAAAAACAAATCCACATGCTATTTTCCTGTAAGAATAAGGATGGCAAAAGAGTTCAGGCATTATAACTGGCCTACTTAAAAGCTACGCAATTATAACACAGAAAATTTAATAGCTTTGTACTGTCAAACGTACCTCTAAGGCAATGCCTGTCATTAAAGGCTGGCAGTACCACAGGCATGTGTGTTAAGTGAACAAAAAAATACTAAAAAATGAAGGTATGGACAAAAATTATTCTGGCAAAAGAAAACAAATGTTTTTCTTAACAATGACCTAAAAAGGCCACTATCGAGCTGGCATAATGTATTGAAAAAAGAACCCCCCATACCCACAGTTCTTCAATGATACGTAGCAATACATCTGTTAATTCTGATGTAAGAAAAATTGTATTTAAATGAATCAAAAGGCGAGATTCTATTGTGTTAAACATGAAATGGTGATGTAGTACTAATGGGTTAATCAGTTACTAGACAGTTGCTGAGTTTAACCAGTGACAGGTACGGAAGGAATTAAGTGATCCAGTATAATTCATTAGGGTTTAAATTGACATACAAAACTACACATAATTACTTAGGAGACTGCAAACTCAGATATAATTATTTTTACATAGTGTCCATAGCTAAATTTCTCTCTCCAAATAAACTTAACTATGAATTGATCTCAAAGACTTAATCCATACTGCTTTCCGTACCACCCTAGAGAAATGTTTTCCACAAAGAGCTAAATTCACCAGTGCATGCTCTTTAATGAACTCAAGAAAGTCACAGTTCAAGTGGCATCATGCTTACTAGTTATAAAACATTTATGAAACATCTCTACTTTATAGTCTCAATTAGAAGACATTCTAATATTTCAGTGAAGCATCAGATGTAATTACAGTGCATTATATACAGATTACAGAAATATTCTGATAGGGAAAAATAAATAAAGTATGTAAACATCCTGAGTAAAATTCTGCTGCCACTGAAGTCAGTTACAGAATTGTTGTAGATATGAGCACAGGCAGTATTTCACTGCTCTTTTTAAAGCATATAGCAGTGCATGTTAAGTTGATTTAAAACAGTTTAAAGTGCATACAATGTTATAAAAGAAATGCAAAAGCTTTTAAAGTTTTACATATGCAGATTCCATTCATATCTATTGCGTCTCCTCGGTCCCATCACTTCTGATTCAGTGGCATCTTTGTTTATCATTTCTTGGTCTTCTAGGACATCTGGCTCCAACTGATGTATTTCACATTCATCGTGTAATTCATGCTCTTCTATTTTGTAATCATTACTATAATCTTCAAGCAAATCTTCATAACAATCATCTTCTCCGTTGTCCATTTCTTTCTCTTGAGAATGTTCAGCAAATGACTGAATGAGATCTTCAAGTTTCTCATTACAGATGTGGCCAAGATCTTGGAATACACAAAAAAAACAATCAAAATGAATCTTTACTGGAAAGGCTCTAAATTTCAGGGTCAGTTTAGAAGTAGAATATTTTTTCTGTTTGTTTTTTTCTCTTTTATTAAGACTCAAATAATGCAAAATTTCCCCAAATTTCTATTGAACCATTCATAACATTTTTTTACTTGGGCTACTATGCAGCTCTTGGAAGTCTTCAGTTGAAACTACAATTTGCTGTTTAGTGTTTTATGCAAGCATTACCCACAGCCTCAGAGGTCCTCATTTGGGAATCTTCAGACTAAAGTTAGTCCAATACTAACAGACTGCTTAGGAACTGACATTCAAAAAGCCTGTTTTAACAAAGGAGAACGCGACTGTGTGGTCCATCCCAGTTCAATGTCTTTTAGCACCTATTCTTAAAAAAACATAATGTATCAAAAATTTGAAATTGGATATACCTGAAACAGGAAAAATGGTACTCCTCCAGAATAAAACTAATTCCACACAAATTACCTAAGGTGCAGGAGCTGAATATTATTATAGTGAGATCTATTTATTCTTTTAAAATATAAAATACTTAGTTATCTACCCATCTGAAAATTAAAGTACCTTTCATCTTGTTTTCTGATTTATCCAATCCACTTTCTTTCATCAGTCGTCTAATTGACTGGAGCTGTGTCATTATTTCATCTTTCTGCTCACAAGCTAAAGCGTTAACACTAGAAAAAAAGACAAATGTTAACAGCTGAAAGATTATCTTGGAAGTGAGTGCTTGATAAAAATGCAGAAGACTGAAATACTTCCTTCCATGGATAAATACCATAGTTAACTTCGTGACACATTTAGGTCAAGCTTTCCTTGAAGAACTGTCTCTTGAGAAGTGGGGAGCCCATCACGTACACCTACTGAATAATTTAGTCACTGAATTCTAACATTGGAGCCCCAATGGCCAAGGCTGAGTAATGACTACTGAAAGAAACAATTAACCAAAGTTATTTTTAGTACAACAATACCTAATACAGAACTTTTCAGTTTAGAGGCTCTTCTCATTTAATTCAGACTTTCTTTACTCTCCTGGCCATCACTACTAGGAACTTGTCAGGCAAATTGGTCAGTGGATTTGCTGTTTAACAGTTTCAGCACATATTAAGTTCGGAAGTACACTAAAGGAACAATCATAAAATTCTGCATGTTTTAACCTGAGTTTCATGAAGGATGTCAGTCCACAAAATGGACTGCATGGATATTTTTATTTCTAGTAGATGAGTAAGGCTCTAGCTTCTTAAGAAAGGAACTTCTCTAAAACTACAAGGAGTATATATTACTGATTCCCTTGTCACACTACAACAGAGAAATTATATTTCACTGAAATACACACACACTTTACAGGTTCATTTCAAAACACAAAAATAAGCAGCTATACCTTGGTAACTAATTTTTTCTTCTACTTGCATCTAAAGGAAAAGAAACTCTTTCTGCTACCAGAAATGTAATTCTCACAATGGCTTTCAAATGCTACTGAGATTAAGTATATTTCCAGTATTAGTCTCCTTGGTCAATATTAAAGTTTAACTCATTAAGCCACAGTAACACAATCGCAAGTCTGAACTTTTGCATTAATGTTTGGTGAACAAGAGATGGGAGGTATCTGTAGAAAAGATTGCAAACTGCAGAAGAGGTATTACCTGCAAAAGGCTACAAAAGCAGTAATTAATTAAAGAAGGTTCCTAAAAACTGTTCCTTACCATATATATATATGGATCATTTTAAGAATTTTGTTAACATTTTGGCAAATTTCAATTTACAGAAAACTACACTGAGAAGTTTCAGAAACACTCACCAGTTTGAAAGTGGATCCAACTGAGTCAATAAAGAATTTAACATTTTCTCTGTCTGTGCTAGATGCCGCTCCAGTTCTAAAAGCTGATGCTCTAATAAAAAAAAAAAAGGAAAAAAAATTTTAAAAAAAGAAGGGAGGTGGGGAGAGGAGAAAAAAGGGAAAGAGGGGGCAGGAGAGAGAACTTTGTTAGAAATGTCTTTACAATACCAGAAGGATATTAATTTACATTTTGGTTGGGCAGATTCAAAAACAGGAAGTTTCTTTTATCTGTAAAATTATAGAATGTGAAAAGGGAGTGGTGGGGGTAAGAACAGAAGCCTTACTATGTGTGAGCAAAATCCCTCCCACCCAATAACCTCTCTCCAGTAGTCCCCAAACAGAGGACACCTTTATAGAAACTGAATGAGAATGTGAAGCTCACCTTCCCAGTCACAAAAACTATGTAGTTCCAAGACTTCCTGAGGTGTAAGTACTGTATTTATACTTAATATACAGTCATGAATTTCTCCACTCACACCTCACAAATATATTTAACGCTGAATGCACTAGAATCAAGAAGAGTGATTCTTCCTAAAGCTGTACCGAACTCTGAAGAAAGAAGAATCCAACAGACAAGGATGGTGACTAGGCAGTGTAACAAATCACTTCTGAACCTGATTACAGACCTGGTGAATGGAGACACCAAAAGAGGCTGATAGTTGTTTAATTCACTAAAAATGGGTCTGTACAAGGGGGGCAAACATACGAAAACAGCTCAACT